AAGCATTAGATACTGGTCATGGACTATAATACGTTGGGTACATTAAAAATACCGCTACTATAAATGCCGGGCCATTCATTTAGTATAAACACGACATGTAGACGTGTTGCAGGGGAATCTTTAATCATAAAATAAGTGGGCCGGCGTGTTCACCGTGTTGAATTTATTCGTTCAGGAAGACTTTATTATCACACACAGTAAGCACGAAGTTTCGGTAGATGATTTTGTCTTACAGTAATCAAGTCTAGGACAATATGGAAAGTTTTCTATTTATTGATCATTTTCGGTTTACCGCATAGAAGGACGGATCCTTGTTCCATTTTGAACGTTTCTTCAACTTCGAGGTTGACGACATATAATAAAAACTACAAAGGAATTAACTTCATTGCACTTCCACCTCGGGTGCATTGTTCAGAACTGTAACACTTTCGTGTAGGTAAACGTTTTACAGTAAAATATTCATCAAGCGTGAAATGATGGCTAATTGGTAAAGGAAAAACTATTTTCTTGTTTAATATCTAAAGAGAAAGGTCCAGTGTTCTCCTTTTGTTTCTTGCACATTTCTTTTGTTTTGTTCTTGAACGCAAAAGCAAGACTTGTCGAAAGGTAACTGGCTAAAAAAGATTACCGAAGGATCTTCAGCGTTACCATAATTTCTTTTGGTGGCCGTCTATTACTATTTTCGTATTGACTTCTCTAAGATCGGGAATAAAGTTTCAAAGATCAACGGTTCTCATGCATAATCATATGATTTTGAAGAGCTTTGATTAAAATCGCAAGACACTTACGGAGCAGCAAATTTCACATTTTTTGCAGTCAAAATACACGTCGTTGCTTAATACCTGTAAAATGTATTAATTTACTCTAAAGTAATAGGATTCCCCTCGTGTTTTCCTAATTAAATTGGTGTTTATATAACGATTTTGGATAATTTTTCAATATAAATATTTTTTTAATCAATTATTAAGAATATTAAAATGTTTACCAACTTTAATTATAAGGTATAAGGTTTAATTTAGCTCCGTGACAATCGAATATAAATTTAAACATTAAATTAAACAGAAAAAATTTCATTTAAACACTGTAGAATTTGGTAGAGTGCCTAAAACGGATGTCGCATTTCCTCGCTGAATCGCTATACTAAAGCGTTGAATTAAATAATTTGTCAATTGTTGTTTATTGGTAATACCTCGAATTTTGCTACCCATTTCAGCGGCAAGGTTTTTGGCAGCGGCTCCCAAAGGACCAAGGGTTCAAAAGCTACTTAACGGCACAAAATGAAAGTTTGTGTCTGGTATGGTACTTTCTACATTTATCATTTTCTCAAATTCGAGCTGCTTCTCCAGCCTGTCGTGCAGTAGAACTAATGTAATTTCAAGAGTGTCAGCACATACCAAAGGACGACCTAATTTCCATGGAATTAAAATGATTCCATCTGGCCTTTTGTCGTCTTTTCTGAAACATCCATTGGCTTCACAACGTGCAGGAATCTCCGCAGAATTCAGAGCGCGTTTGATAATATCATTGATCGAATTGTGTCGTGATTTTTGGCCACCGCTTATGCGGCAGGAAATACCATGATAACCTAAAATATTGGTAGGTTCGCCACAGGAGCAGGGATGAGAAACACAGACAGGTACACCCAAACGTAGGCACATCGAAATTCTAAATGAAGAATCATCTTTATTCCCAAAGAAGCAGTACTAACAGTTCACGGACTGCCGGCGAACTGAACGGGAGTGTCGTGCTTAAAGTCTTTAAATTCTATTTTTCGAGTATTTTCTACGTTATTTCCAAAGTCTCCTATATGTTGCGTCAGAGCTTTCTAGATTTATATAGCTCACAGTAGTGCACAGAAGGTTCCTAGCACTAAGAAAAGTTGGAGGTGTTTCCGAAATGCACGGTAGTTGTTCTGGAAGGCGCTTATAGGCGGCGGAAAGGATTCTAAACGCTTTCTATAGCAATCGAAGGCCCTAGGTGTCTCTTAGTCATTAATTAATCAAAAGCCTTCTAGTTTTTAGACCCCTTTTCTAACTTTTAAGTTGCGTTTCAGAGCATTCGGCGTATTGAAAAGCGCTCTAGAGCTTTCTTTCACTGTTATATATCACATCTCCCTCCCCCATAATGTAGTTTTTTCAAAGCCTTTTATATCACTGATGACATTTTTGTACACCCTTTACAACGCAATGTATTAGATAATGGATCCATCTCGTATTTGAGATTTTTGATTAATAATGGATGCTTGTCTTACTCACATAAATTTGGGAATGGCATGGGCAGGCAGCCATGATTTACCTTTACAAAGCAGTCCAACTCCAGGACAAAGCTTTAAAATCTTTTTCTAGGAGCACTCTAGCTAGGGTCTTTGTGTGCTTATCAAGCTCCGTAAAGGATTAGTGAAGTTCTAGAGAAGGTCTAAAGCGAAATCTAAGCATTTATCAGGACTTTTTGAGTCTTTCACAGTTTCAGCCTATTCCCGTTTAGTGCTTTTTAGTCGAGGGTTTTAAGGTGTAGTAGTTTACCATTTCTATAAGGTTTTTTTCTAATTGCTTACTAAATGTATTTAATTTTTTTCACTTTTTGAGCTAACGTAACAATAAATCTTAAATCAAACAATAATAAATTTCTAATTTCCTCCATGCGAACCGAAGGAGGTAAAGTGCCCATAATGGAGGCGGCGTTCCCCCGCTGAAATGCAATACCTGTTCGCTGTTTCAAGTGTTGCGTGGATCTCAGGTCGCCAGTTTTGGCAGCAATAATTTTCCCGAGGGAATCCATAAAATCTTTTGCCTCATCGCACCAAGGTCCAAAAGATTCGACTGCAAATGGTAAAAAGAAATAATGTTGGTCTTAATATTTATTTTCTTTTAACTTGGCTTTTAAAAATTTCAAAACTCTCAAGCTTTTTTGAAAGTTTCTAATGTTCTATACGTTTCGAAACATGCATAGTCTCCAACTCTGTGTTTTCTACCATCCTCCGGAAATGTCGCCCGCGTGTATCGATTTTCATTGTTGGGAAACGCTGTAAAAAGCTTAATTGTAGAATATATTGATTTTCTTCTCTTGCTTGATTGAAAAGAGGCAAAAATTGATAAATGCAAGGGATGAGATGGATTGTCCATTGTAAAAGATTCTTGTTTACCGTGCGGGACAGATAGTCATTTTAACTCTGTAATATACACTCTTACCTAAACTATCAACGCTAGGCATACTTGGTAAATCTTTGAAGGAAGTCAAATTTGGGGGAAATGATAAGCGTTTCCTTGATAGTTGCAAAGGCGTAATTATATCCTTGAACATTACCATTAATTAACTATGAAAGTAATGACTACCAGAATATAACACGTGTAATGGTATACAGTATTTGAAGTAGGACGTTGGTTCGAATTTTACTAAAAGGATCTTTGTTGCCAAATCGGTTTTCTTTTTTTCGTCTTACTCAAAGATAATGTTAAGCTACTTTCTGCTACTTGGAAATTAATTTCAATACATGCTCAACAGGCGAAGTTGTTGAAGATATCGGTTTTTGTACCTGTTCTACGTTTCGTTCCAATTGGAAGGTGCTGATTCGTTTGGCACAACATTCGGTTGAGTTGATATGGCCTTTTGCGGGAAAGTATGGGTAATCAATTGGGGTCCAATATAAGAGGATTCATCAAGAAAATAACGATACTTTATTAAAGTTTTAATAGCAATGGTTAAATATGCATATTTTGACAATATGAAAACAAATCTACAAAATTGATATAGCTGACAATGGTCTCATCTTCCTTCTCAATATTCAGGCCCATTTTTCTTAAAATGCGGGCCCGCAATTGTTCATTTCGGGTTTCCCATCCGTTGTCGTAAACTTTTAACACAGTAGCAACTAAAATTCTTCCATTGGCCCATTTTATTCTATTTGAATCATTTCCAAGTTCTCCTGGAATAATAAATAATACGAATCGAGGTCAGGTCAAAAATATTATATCACCATGTAGCGATGAGTCACTTTTTTCCGTAGCCAGCTCTCCGTTGTAGGTATTCTTGTGAATTTCAAGTTTGCACGACATTTTGAACTGTTGAAACCGAGGTTGAAACAATTTGACGTTTTCTAATGACAGTAATCGACGATTTGTTTACCCGATTCATGATAACTATAGATCATTCATCAACATCAGATGTAAATTTCAGGGCAAACTTTTTCTCAAAACTTATGTCCCATTCAACTTTCATTGTAAAGAAGTTAGCGGTCATTTCGGTCTGTCCTCAAAAGTAATTATCGACAATTTTCTGATACTACATAAAGATATTTATTTGGTTAGTGGATTTGATTCCATGCGATGTTATTTTTCCCATTTTGCCAGATGCATGCATAAATGTAAAAATTGCTTTGGGTTTTGATCTAAATTTTAATAACAAAATTTTATTTCGCCATGCAACCTGATGAATTTAAGGCAAATTTGTACCTTTAGGCAAACAAGTGGATTAGGTAGGTTTCTTTGGGCGTAGGGTGGACGAAAAAAGCTAACCTTTAGTTTTCAGAATTAAATTTGATTTTCTTTGAGTAGACTTCGATACCTTTGCATTGAATAGCGAGTGACGCACAATGATAAAGCATAAAAGAGATTGCATGGATAGAGCACATATTTGTGTTGCAAAAACTGTCAAGAAATTAAACAATTAAAGGCAGAAGGTCGCTCTTGCATAATACTACACGTTTCCATACGAAAAAAGATACCACTATTGGCAAAGTTGGTACTTTCTCCTGCTTTAATTACATAGTTCATATAGGTAATAACATTGTCGGTTACGTGGTTTGAACAATTTATTTACTAACCCTGGTAATGACATTGCTTAATATTTGCAAACATTGTTTAAAATTACGATCTCACTCATGTATTTCGCTAGTATTGTCCAAAATAGACGTACGCACATTGAAAATCCGGAAACTTAAAACGTACTAACCTAAATATTTATTTCCTAATTTTAATTTCTAATATCTGCGTTTTTCTTTTCAGGTGAACGAGTTTATTTAAAAGCAACAATGCGATTATGGGCTTCATGGTTCGTGTCATACTAGGTATGTCGTGTTTTAATCCATTTGAGATAATGCGCTAGATAAGCAATAATTTTAAAATTATTTCCTGCTCTATTTTATATTTATAAGTAATTCCCGTTAGTCTGCATTAAAGTAAAATCCCGTAGAATAGGTAGCGTATTTTACCGCGCAGTCCAATCCCTGCGACTTTTCTTACTGTCTGCGCTGTAAACAGTGTAAAACCTTTAGGCTGGCCGCTGACTGTACAGTCCACAAAATCCTATTCGAAAAAACCTTTGTGAATAACTGCGCAGGCCGGTCTGAAACACTGCCACGGTCATCCCGGCGATTTCCATCCCGGCACCGATTTCCTGGCGACAAGCCACCCGGCGACCATTTACTTCTCGGCTTCGGTTATCCCGGTCATCTAAACCCGGCGATGGGCAATCCCGGCTTTGGTCGTCCCAGCAATTTGAACTCTGCGATCGGGGAGTAAAACGAGGTAAACATATGAAATAAATTCATGTTTATTATATTGGAACAATTTACCGGAATTAAGTTTTCTTATTTGTATAGAGTGTGATTTTTCTTTTCTAGATATAATACAATCTGAATAGGGACTTGAAATTATGCCATTTATAGTTAGGTAAAACTCTGGCATCTACCTACGTAGGTAAACGGTAAAACGCAATTTTCAAAAAATGCGTCCTTTGCACCGTTGGCAATTGTGTAAACAAAACGGATTATTTGAGCTTCCTTGCATTTCAACCATAACAACCACTTTCGGTACCTAATTTGATAACCGCTTCTACATTATATCATTGTTTAAGTAAAAAAAAAACAATAGGAAAATGGGACGTCGTTAGGTGTGCATTGCCAAGAAAGTAATAGTCACCGGGATATGTCGTCGCCGAGTATAAATCGCCGTGATAGTAATGGTCGCCGGGATGGGTTGTCGCCGCGAAAACGGTGCCAGGGCGTGTGCCGCCGGGATGTACATCGCCCGGATGGGATACTCCGGTCGGAACAGGCCAAACTCGGTGTGTATGTGTATGGTAGTATCGATGATGTATAATTGTAGTTCATTAGGGCGCTAGGAGGTCGTTAATAATTGTATTAATACCCAAGAATCTGAAGAGAAATTATTGTTGAATACTTCAGGTCTTCGTACCTTCTGTCAGCCAAAAAAAGTCGCTGTAACCCTCTCATGGGGGAAATGGCTTGTCGCTTTAATGTGTCTTTCTTCTTAATCAAAAAGGTAACAATGATAATAAATTTAAATAGCTCTGCTCGTCCTTTCTCAAATAGTTGTACCAATCCTTAGGAAAAACCCTAGGTACCAATCCTTAACTCGGAAACAAGATTTATATGGTAATATACAGAACCTGCACGTGGGCTCTCCTACAAGCCAGTCTTAGGCTCAGTGATGTCCACGTCCGGGTGCGACACCGGAACAATGACCACCCTCAGGCTCGCCGCAGCGACTTGCCCATAGGTTAGTGGTGCGCACGCAAGTGTGTTCCAGAACGTTTAGGCTTCTCCTCAGGCTGCCCTGAGTCAGACCTCGCACAGCTTCCCTCCGATTTGTGACGCTCCGTCCCTGACGTCGGGTGGCCTCTCTGGGCCAAAGACCCAGACACAGTCTTAGGCTTTGGCAGGGTCTGCGTGCCCCTAGGTTTTTCCCTCGAGCTGGCGCTTGCTGACCTTCGCTTTCTGTGCGCCAGTTCCTATTCTTCTAGCGAATAGGAGCTGGCCCATCAACATGTCCTTCAATAAGGTCATAAAATTGAGCAGCGTCTACGAGTAGGTACATAGTCAAAGACTTGGATAATAGTGGTGTTGCAATTTGCAATCTGTACTTTAAATCAAAAATCGTTACCTTTATTAGCTAAATGTTCCTTTTTTGTTTACTTGATTATTTCGTCTTCCCTATGCAACTTAAAATAATATCTACAATTTTAATTCAAACTAAATATTTGATGTGTTAGGAAAAACCTCCGATTTACTCCTTTGTACAAGTCTATTTTGATACGTTTTCACGTGAAGAAATACTGTGCGATGTCCACTTGAAACCGAATTGCTATACATCTGGTATCCTTTATTTTCTATTTATAAATATGAATCATTCTAAACTCAAGGTAGATAGCTTAGGGTCATCAATGTCATTTAAATAGAACAACTTTAATTGCAAACACGATCTCTCCTTAGATGTCATTGTCCTAATCATTTCTCAGATGTACAGTTACCTTAACTGCCATTGTTGTATTTCACTGTCACGAAATTTGCGGCTTATGGTTTCTGCTGTACAAAAAATGATGAAGTTTAGGACTAGAATGACTATTTTATATCTGGATGATTATTATACGCCCACTATTAAATACCGTATGTTGTTCAGCGTTTATTACACGGTGGAACTGTTACATTAGCAGGCCACTAGCATGTGCGTGAAAGCGTGTAGGTAATTTTTGACCGTTTTTCTCACTAAACTTTGATTAACTGAATTGAAGGATGCCAAGCTCCACCTAAACTAAATTAATCTTTGTTGAGTGATGGTTTTAATCAATAAATGCGCCATGTGACAAATTAAATGAGTCTAAAACGTGTTTTCTTTTTACAGGTGTGTTCCTAGTCTTATCAGCACGGCATTTGGCAGAATGTGCTCCTTCTGCTTTACAGCGCCACGTTCGTCAACTAGCAGAAGAAGATGCGGCGCCGGAAGTACCAATCATAGAAGACGAGCCGAGTAGAATAAATCAATCTGATGCCAAGGAAGATTTTTATACGAATAGTGTGATTAACCACACTTCGCTTACTAACAGCACCGTACAAAATAGCAAAACCTCTTTGTTGGACGAAAAACCAAAGACTGAGAGTAATAAACAATTTAATAATGTAGAGTATTCGGAGGATAACAAAAGAACAGAAAGTGATGTTACCGTTCACTATTTTGAGAATGTTTCTGTTGCACCGGTTTTAATTGCCGAGGGAACACCGGTTAGTTCCACGGAAAAAGTAAGGGAAGAAGGTGGAAGATCTTTAGACTTCACTAAATACGTTTCCCCAGAATTTCACGACAGAAACAACGTGTACAGCTTCCCAATTTCTTCAGATACGGAAAAATACACTAATCTTCACAACGATATAAGTTTCACAAGTACCCCCTCATATGATTTTGATAAAAAACAACGCGATATAGAAACGGATGTTAAGGACAAGTTAAAGTACATTGATCGAGAGTTTGAACAAGCGGAGAGAAATTTTTCAGACGGCACTGATTTATCGAATACTAAAATAATAAACGTCCCCAAGGAGAATGACACATCCTCTGAGTTACGGTATACCAAATCCAGGAATATTACGAGCCACTTTTATAAGATAAAAAATAAAATAAATAAAGAAACTGATGTCGAAACAGGCGAAAGTATCGATCATACGTCATCGTTCAATAAAACGACCTACTTTGATGAACCGCCTAAAGACTATAAAAATAAGATATCTTCTGGCGTTGGCCTGCAGTTAGCTCACAAAGTTACTACAGAGACGACTATTGCGAAAAGCATAGATAGTACCAATGATAAGGTAAAAGAGTCTACAAATCAAAGAGATGGCGCTTTTCTAACCAAGCCCCCACTCCCTAATCGAACAGTCAACTCTAATCACTTACTCAGTAATAAGATAGAGAACGAGGTTTTGACTTCTGATAGTGTCTCTAAGCCAAAGAGTGATTTTCCATATTTCACTACGGATCGGCCTACAGCAACGGCGACTCGTACGACAACCGTCAGTGGCACCGAACCTTACCGCTATGAAAATTCTAGAAAAGAAAACGGAATTTCGATCGCTAAAAGAGGTTCTACGAAATATGCCGACACAATTACATCTGCAGTTCCCACTAGTACTACAACTGCTAAACCCAGCATAAAGGAAAATGGAACTTCGAGCCTCCAACGTAACGGGACTGCTGAAGAAGTTGTACAGGAAAATCATATCTATCCTGTACAAGTTCCCGCTCCAACTACGATTACTACAACGGAAATGTTGCAGTACTCACAAACCGAAATGGAGGACTCGCTTTCTAACACGACATATTTGGATACAACCGAAATGACTCAAGAAATATATAATGCAACTACATCTACAGTTGTAACGACAACTATGGCAACTACGGAAATGTTACAAACAACAACGGAGAGTCCTAGATTTGCTACTGAAGTCGACATTGAAAGTTACTTCGAATCTACTACCGATGAAAACCCAGAAACAAGTACGGCTTCTACGACTGAATACACTTTCATGACATATACCGATATTCTACCAAACACCAGCCCGAGAACAACTGCGGAGCTAGATAGAGTTAGTAGCGGGAGAGGTTTCAACTTTAGCAGTACGGGATTCGAGTACCAAACATCGCAAGATAAATCGGACAATACAACTGATACCCCCAACATGACAACGCAAACCCCAATCTCAAACATTACCACTGAAGAAATTGTACCAACGACAACTGACTATCGAGATAACATCATCGTGAAACATCCGGAAACGACCACCGCGAAACACTCCAATTTCCAACCTAGAACTAACGTCTCTTCCGATAGTAGCGCCGAAGAAACTGAGACGTACAAGGAGATAACGAAGAAAAGTGCCGACTCTCAAATTACCACCCAAAGGTACCTTATACGTACGCATTCGTCTGAGCCAACATCAGAAAGCACCCCCTTTATTATTCCCCTCAACATTTCCATGTACGAATTTGATTCCGCCGAGTCTACAACGGTAAACATGGGCATGGAAGAGCCCGAAGAGAGTAACGGTGGGAAAATTGCCGCAATTGTGATTTCTGCGATCGGGGCCGTTTGTTTAGTGCTGTTAGCTGGATTATTGGTAACTTAACTGGTCGCCAGTGTCGACTTATTTGATTTTTATTTCAGTTTGTCATGAGAAAGCGACATAAGCGTTTTAATTATGGTCAAAGGTGCACGCCGGTTAGCTTAGATGCGTACAGCGTCGACAATGTTTCTGTCTATAACAGCATGAGGAGGAAAAGTGCGATGCGGGCCAGCAAGAGATCTTACGGTAACCTTGCGTTTGATGATCCCGTAAGATTTCTGGTCATTTTCTACTGAGTCGGTACTAACGGCTTACTTACAGTCCTCCATCACAAACCCGTTGAATTTTCCTGCACTGGCCAAGTTTGCTAATAATGCGGAGGCGATAGCTGCTGAGTTTGAGGAAGTGCCCCAAGTAACGGCACAAACCAATGAGTTACCAGAAGGCTGTGAAACTAAGAATCGATACGCTAACGTTATCCCTCTTCCGGAAACAAGAGTATTTCTAACCCCGGTCGAGGGTTATATTAATAGCGATTATATAAATGCTAATTATGTTACCGTGAGTTGCGCGTGTCTAGTTTTCTTATAATAGACTAATAAATCCATTTTAGGGTCCTAAAAGCACAAAGAATTACTACATCGCGTGTCAAGCGCCGATGCAAAACACAGTGGAAGACTTTTGGAGAATGGTCTGGGAGCAACAGTCGAAAGTTATACTTATGTTAACGCATCTGTTTGAAAATGGAGGGGTACGTATGCAAACTGTTCGAAGCATCAGATCAGTTGAGTATTTTTAGGAGAAGTGTGTTGACTACTTACCACCATCTGAAGTTCTTGACTGTCACAGACTGTTCGGCGATTTCCAGATCACATTGAAAAATAGGGAAGTTAAGGAAAAATACGTGATATCTGTCTTACAACTTAAAGTAAGTTGCTGACGGCGCCTTTAATTTTTCCAACAGTTTTTTTTAGAATATGGTTTCTAATAGTTGGAGGGAAGTAACGCATTTATGGTACCTGGGTTGGCCCGAAAAGGGTGTACCGTCTGAAGCAAATTCTTTAATTGCGTTTCTCATTGAGGCACGCAGTTATATCAAAGCTTTACCTTCTAGTGAGAATGGAAAGGTATTGCTCCAAGACAAGCGTTTGGAGTACTAATCATTGGTATTGTAGACTAGCAATGGCGAATCACTAGCTAATGGAACTCTAAACTTGGAATACAGTCCTATAGTCGTCCATTGCAGTCCAGGAACAGGAAGAACAGGAACTGTTATTGCGTGTGACATTGCGATAAGGGAGTTTGAACTTGCGAGACAAGTCGACATACCAAAAACGGTGTACAGAATTCGCCGTGATAGAGCCAGCTCTGTTCAAACGAAAGAACAGTACGAATTCATCTATAACGTGAGCTTCTTGTTCTTTAATGGGCCGTTTACAATTTTGACATTTTAGGTGATCACTTTGTACGCAACCAAACTAACTGGAGGAGTCTTAGATTCTTTGTAAGCTATAGCACGTAGGTATATGATGTTCAAATTGTGATTTCTATATTAAGAAAGACATATCAAAAGGTGGGACCAAATTTTGAGTAACTACATACAGTGTTATGTATTGGAGTTAGTGAACAAGTTCGATAATATGAGGGTATTTGTATATAAATATTTTTGTATAATTAGTAAATTGTATATGATTGATGATGAAGCTCTCTCATTCTCTAATATTTCGATAATGCTTCTTCAAACTATGTATTTATTGATAACATTGTTTTTGTTTGTTATTTATGTTGTTCCTATATTCTGTATAAATAATCTGATTGTAAATGTAATATTCTATTTTTAACAATAAATAACAGATTGTGAATGAATCATATGAAACATCTTAGCTTTTATTGAGGACGGAAAAGGCGAGACCACAACTGAAAATACTCTAGACCTAGAGAGTCTAGGCGGTCAAAAATGATACATGTGGATTTGGAAATGGATTATTTTTGACGTTGCTAGAAACTTGCAAGCGTCAAATGAAAAGGAGATACTGAAAATGGTAGACAATTAGTTAATAATGACAATTCTAGACAATTGTTATGAATATATATCGCCATGAGGTATCAGCGTTGATTGATAAACAAGAGAGAACTGAAAAAAGTACAAAAGAAAAAGTAAAGAAAAAAAAAGGTGAAGGTGGAAAGAACACAAATCAAGGAAATAAAAACAGAGAAGGACTTTTAGAAGGTGATAAACAGATCAAAAAAGAAAAAAAAATCTAGTGGGAGTGGGAAAGAGTACATTTAGAGGAATAGCTATTTATATATCGAGAGCAAAGTATATAATTTCCTCCCGCGGTTCGCGGAGGATCGTGATTAACCCAAGGAGGCAATTGTACTTTGCTCTCGTGTTATATATCTGGTTTTATTTTCGCGTTCATCAATCCGACCATTAAATCGTTTTCGTTCAAAGAAAACAGAGTAGCTACCCGCTTGGAGATACGACAGCACCAGCTGTCAATAGTAACAATTGACAAGTAATTTCAAAATGTGCATTTAAAGTAACCTGAGTAGTTTGGAAATCTTTTAACAGCGACAAAAGCGATTTCGATTTGCAAAATACTCTTCTTAATGTCAAAAATGGAGCCAATTCCGCAAGGTTACCCGAGAAATCGCAAAAAAAATGCTTACAGATTTATTCAGTACGTAACCAATGTTGAACAAACTAAACTGCGAGGAAGACGAATGAAATTGCAGTCAATATATGTTTACGAACTTCGTAAGGTAGGTGTCTAATTATCTTCGCTTTGGTCTAAGTTTGTAGGTATGTATTCGATGTTAAAAGCCACCTTAGCCGTGAAGAAAGATATGGACATCAAATACCCAAAATTAACTACATTTCTGTAACGCCAGAATGTGAGTTACAGACCAACGCATTTACGTTTCCATGGAAATTACTTTACCTTCCGTAAAGAGTTTTTGATTACTTTGCCTCCTTCAAAAAGTAAACGTACACTTTGCTCCTGCAAATGAGGGGGCAAAATCTGGTTTTCTGTAGAGCGCGGAGATAAAAATTTTATCAAGGTACTACAAGGAACGTAAGAGAAAGATAACGCTTAGAATAAGCGATGGAATAGAAGAGGATGTTGGAGGAAACACAAATGGGCTGCAGAAAATAAAGGAGGGGGCGTTCGACTGTATATATGTATTCCTCTTTACACAGATTGGTGGAAAAGTATAATTGGAAAAAAGAGAGGAAAGGTGTTTGCATTTTTCATGGACTTAAAGGTAGCATTTGACAGTGTGGAAAGGGAAAATAAAGTACGAAGGATGGAAGATAGACAAGAAGCTAGAGGACAGAATCAAGGAAATAAATGAAGAGGATTGAAAGTAAGAATAGAAGGGAAGGAGTCTAAAGACATGTAAAGGATGCCCGCTTAGCCCAACTCTACATAAGGGACATGGAAAAAGTATTAAGATAGGGCCAATGTGGAAGGATAGTATAAGTATAAGTTAGAGAGTGCACGAGGAAGTATAGTAGTTACGAGTGATTACCAAAATACTTATGGGCGGGAAAGGAAAATATTAAAATAATGGCCAGCTCGAGACAAGAAGAAGAAATAAAATGTAGAATCTGTAGAGAGGAAGAAGGGGACATTGAACAAATGCTATGTAATTGTCATGAGGCGGAAAGGACAAAGAGAAGCAGGAGTGATGTGCTGGTAGAGGCCTAGAGGGGTGAAGAGATGTGAAGTGGATGAGGGAGATACTAAAAAGAAAGAGACGGGAAAAACGCACACTGCGAGTATCTTGAAGGGAGTACAAAAATTTGAAGATATCCTGAAAAGAATTTGATAAATACGCGAGAGAAAGGCACTTAAGAAGAAATTGAGAGTTTAAGGGAAATGTAAAGAGAATTAGAGCACTTGAGAAAAATATTTTCAAATTTGATAAGAACGTAAGTGCAGCTTGACGAAAGTGCCAGGGAAGTTTAAGAGGGCTTTCACTGCTTTCAGAGATTGGTATGTTGCAATAAAGGGTAGCTTTTAAGCGAACATAGAAAAATGTTGAGAATGTCAAAATATCATGAGTTGAAATTTCTGCCGGATTTGAGAGCAACAAGAGAGAGGGTAACTTGGAAAGGCGATCGCCAGAAACTTGGGAAGATCTGGGAAATTGGGAAAAGGTGTAAGGTTGAAAATTGAAATCGTATTTAAATTTACATAATTGCGAATACAACAAGTAACTAATTAGTCTTCAGGAAATTGATAAAAGTACTATTTTTCATTTTGCCACATCTTCTAATCTAGGGCTACACAAATACTTAAAGAGAAATTATTTTATTTGTTACGATTTTGTGGTTCAGACGCCCTAGCGAATACAGAAAAAGAACAAAAGTAATGGCATAATTATTTTTGTGCGCTAGGGCAGAAGTAGATTTGTAATATATTAGTAGTATTCGACAAATTATAAAAATACTCGACCAGTTCTTAAAACTACAAATTTCACGATATTGATTCCACGAGCATTGCATGTGACGGACTTATTAAGAATGCTTAGTATTTCATTGATAGTTTTTGAGAATAGAATAAATATAAACATAGTGAATCATGAGGTTTATAATATTGGGAGGCAATAAATAAGTAGTTTCCTTCCGTTGCCAAGTTTCTATTTGCCAAATTCCCGGCGACGTTGAGATTCACAACTGCAAATTCATCTAAACAGATTGAAGGATACCAAAATAGTAAACATGAATAAGTTCTGAAACGGTTAATGATTTTATGATGTTTGATGCTAAAGTAATTTGTAGCTAATCGTTGACAATAAGTGGCAAAAATTTATTTCTTTAGCCTACTATTTAACACGGCACGACCCCACAAATTCCGTAATGTGGATGCATTTTGCGATTTGTAAAAATTTAGACCACATGGTTTGCAGATGACAAAAACATGTTTTCCGTTCAAGTGTAGAGTTCTATAAAAGATCAAGAGCAACACTTTGACCTAGTATAAATTTAGTTTAGGTTAATTTTCGAGAGGAAGTGTTTCGCCGCCAAATTGACTCCATGAATTTGGATTGTATTTTTTGTCTTAATGGTGATAAATTACAAACTTGCTTAGGTACTTACTTTAGTTATTTTACTGCAAAATACTTATAGTGAAGGTATTTCGGGATAGGTATATACATTTTATCTCGAGTTAACTTGGATATGTTTCATAGTGAAATTCTCAATAAATGAAAACAAATTTAAGATTGTATATAATATTTGCAACATTAATTAAGGTTTTTATTCAAATCTTTGAACATTACCTATACACACTCCTGAAAAATCAAATCCTACATCTACACTCAACACTGGTGGCATTATTAATCATCAGCTAAGAGATAACTTTCAAGAAAGGAAATCGGTATTATAATTGCAGCAGGGCAAATAATTCTAATTCAGTACTGGTAGAATAGCGCTTCACTTTTCGACATTTAAGAAATAAGTAGTGCGTTTTTATAATAAGATAAATTATAATGGGCATTTCGGTATTTGTAGCGCTACAAGGAACTCTGAAAGGGATAATTAATCCTATATACACCTACAGCTAAAAACTAAAGTGAAGAGAACAATAATTAACTCCGAATTAGCTGTATTGCATGCCATACTAACGTGTATCAGGATTATACCAAATACAGGGTGTAACACCCAAGAGCCCTCGGATCATAATTCCTTTCCCACAAAAGATACTGAAAAAAGTCTTAGAGCAAAATTGTACACAATTACCGTCGCCATATTTGGCGTTTCGGCTTGGTTTTTCTCTCAAATTTTCTTATGGAATGAGTGGTTTTTCTTTGTTTCCGTGGAAAATTTGTAGTTTTGGCTACCCAGAGGTATAATTTGCTTAGAGGGGTGCCATTTGAGATTTTTAAAAAATATGACATCTAGCGGTCAATCAAAAATTTATTTTTTTCGATAAAGTACCTAAAAAACATGATGTGACTGTGAAAGAGATCTTAACTTGTGCCTCAGTCCATAACTTATCCGTCTGCGCGATTTAGCTTCTCTGAAAGAAAATCGAAAAACTGTCAAATTTTGGCGAAAAAAGGGTATAACAACGTAATCGTTAAAGTTAGAGGTATAACATGTTACATAAAAAATAAGTACTTTTCAATTACTCTCCAAGTCAGTAATAAAATATGGAGTGCAAGTTTGACAAGCCACTGGAATACAGCACGCCCCTGATGATTTTAGAAAATATGGCGATGGTAATTGTGTACCATTTTGCTCTAAGACTTTTTTCGGTATCTCTTATGGCATAGTAATTATTAACCGAGGGCTCTTAGGTGCTACACCCTGTATATTTGCACATACCTACTCACTAATTTGTAAGTTTGTCTGGCATTCTTTAGTTTACTTTCATTTTAAATCTCTCCGGAGTATTTAGTCCCTCAACTCAATTCAAATGAAGGACGTTAGGTTACTAGACAGGGGGTAAAAAAAAATTAGTTGGCTCTACTTCATTAAATAATCACCAAGGTTTTAGAAAAAATATCATAAAATTGATAAAATTCCTGGGAATTTTAGGACATACAAATAAATTTGACCTAAACGTGTATAATACGGTTTATACATAGTTATATTTCACTTGAGCAATTAGTAACCCAGCAGTAATTAAATTTAACTGGATTATTAGTAATGTATGCAGTATAGTGTATTTACTTTAAAATTATCACTAAAGTGTTTTTGCAAAACCAATATGTGCACTATTAATTTGAAAGTCCAGCAGTGTAGCCAATTAATCAACTATTATCGTATCCGTCCACTCTTTCTAAAAGCTGTTTGTTTTTTAGATAGATTTTATTAAATTGCAAATAGAATTAGTAAACAAATTAGATTTAAGTATAGGAATTTTTCAATTAAGTTCACAGTAACTCCGAAAAGATATTCAATTAACGTGTTTATATTGAACCTATCTTCGCACAATGCTTTGAACACAAAATTATATTCAAAGCACAATGCCTAATTAATCCGTTATAAAAGCCCACTTTTTGCATGAAAAATGGAATTAAAACTTCTTTGACCTTCAGCATAATATGCAGTGACGTATAATTCACTATCTGCACCTATTCTAGATTTTGTTTCTACATCAGTATTTTATTATCCGGCGTGTATTAATTAATAAGGAGTATAGGTAAGTAATAGACAAATGTATCAAATAAAAATAAAATGTTACTCACAAATGTATCATAGTAGGAAATTAAAAAATTAGGTAAAATAATTATAATGACTTAACTTGAATCGATAATTACCTATGCGTATAGAAATTCTCAATTTTAATTTCCGTGTTTTCAACATAAGTGTTGTTGAATTTTGTTTAGTTTGCACAATTTACAGTTTTTTAGGATAATTTCAAAAATAAAAAGTAATGCAGTAATGTGGCCACTTTGCATCCGATCTTTATCTTAGAAGCTCTCATTTTTTCGCTAATGGCTACGCAGCTTCCTATATGCAAAACTGCCAAATGAGCCTCATGAAAATTTTATTGATGGTAATTTCGAGGAAGAATCAATGGCTACAAGCTATTTATGTAAAATTAGACGCTGAAATGATTGACAAAATTCTAATGCTACAAAAACAGGACGTAAATTGGGTACCGGTAAATAACATGTTTCAAGAAGTATCATTTGGATGCTAAAGACGATTTAATTAAATTTTTTTCCAAAAACGTTTTAATTAAGCACTGTACAAAGGTGAATTTAATACAAATATTTTTATTGAATTTCTGTCAAAAGTACTGTGTCAATCAAAGTGTTTATTTATTCGTAGCAAATTATTTTATATCTTGTAATTTGTGTATTTACAATTTGATCAAAATATATGTTAAAGAAGTCTTCTGAATGGCTGATGACCGTAACGAAGATTGTTAATTTCAAACTTATTCTGAACTATTGCGAATTATAGTTACTTCTTGCGACTCTCAAATTAATAGTGCACATATTGGTTTTGCAACATCATTTTTGCGCTAAATTCAAAGTAAATATATCCACACACCATATTATATACATAGGTACATTAATAAAGACACCAGTTACAACTGGATTACTACACGAGCACTAACATAAGTAAGAATAACTATGCATTATATTCTAGATCTTTATAGGTCACATCACATTACAGTGTGGTCCTACGGTTGGGAGATCCGCTATGTTTTGGCCAAAAATACAGCGGATTGGTGGAAATTAATCTGAAAGCCAAGATAATGAATTTATCTTGCTGGACAAAATTGTGGCAGCATTATCAGCATTATTGTAACTGTTAAGAGCAATAGCCCTTGAGTAACACGAAGTTATACAAAAGTTTATTATAACAAATCTCTACAATTAGATAACACAGAAAATAGGTAGGTATTATCATAGAGGATTGTATTTCCTTTATGGTATTATTTAGTAGAGCCTTTTAGAAACAACGGAAAAAGTATTTAGAACGCCAAAAAACGTACCGGTGTGAAAAAAGCGACCAATACTAGTGGCCAAAACTTCCGAATATACCCGAAGCGAAAATAGACTTTGTCACGCAATTTTTTGTGCTTTTATTCACTTTCCTCTAAATACTGCAACAATTCTATTTACAATTAAATAGAAAACCCTCTCGTCAAGTAGAAATACGAGTCAATAAGGGTTGAACAAGCCACTCTCATCATATCTCCAAAATGGCACATACTCTCACAATCAAATTTTCGTGTCTGGTTAATGACAGTCCGAGAATAAATAATCAACAAAAAAACCTAGGTGCACTGCCGTCCAAGGGGTTGAAATAGTCACCACATGTAAATAAATGGTTGCTAAACAACGCCAATCAAACATTTATTCCAAATAAGTCGATGGTTTCAAAGTGCTTTGGTTGACTTAACATCTTAAAATTTGCGGTCATTCTATATTTTTTTCTCATCAACACTATAGTTTAAATTTTGTGAGGTAAACTGAGGTTTTGCGAGGAACTTTTTGAAATTTGCGTTACAGCACAATGCAGAACAATAGCCGAGGTTGCTGAACGAGCATGAGAAAAATTTTCTTGAGCCTTTAGACCCTTTCATCGGCAAAGTTCTATATTATTGGGCCCCAACACAAGCTTACAAATAAATTTTGGAAAATTTCCAATTGAAGTTTTTGCCGAACAGAAAACACAAATTGCCGAAGAACCGCGAACTGTCTATCTCTATAGGATTACTTGTTTTCGGTATTTTAGAATAATGTCAATGACTTTTGTATTGTTGATTATTTGTTTTCAAATTTATAATAATAAAATCCATACCATGTGTAACTTTATTGTGATTGCAAATTAAGATTCGTTTGAATAAAGCTTTATAAAAATGTGACAAAAATTTTAATATACAATAAGTTCTTAGTTCGATAGAGCAAACTCAAATACAATGCTCAAATAAAATTCAAAATTCCTTAAATTTTTTACCCGGCGCGTTATCAATGTTCAGCTCGGAATTTTTCCGCAGTTAGAACCTTAAAAGAGTTCAAAGAATGTTTAGGAAATAAAGTTATGATTTGTCTATAAACAGTTACCGTTAATATTGCAACTGTAACTAAAAATTAATGTCCTTCCAATCAGAAACATCTGACCTGCAATATAAGTACCTAATAGAGTAATACATCTAGATTTAATTGACTACTGGTTAAGTAGGTAGTTCCGTTGTTGGTTTAATCTGAACATAACTGACAACTTTTAGATAAGATCGCTATGCTAAATACCCAAGATTCATTCCTAGAAACACGCCACATGGGAAATTATTATTTTGGTGACTATCTTAATCATAAGGTACCTAATCTGACCGACAATTTGAACCCTGTTATTTGAACAAAGCGATTTAATCTGAAAAATTCAAGTGTACTGAACTACGTACTGCGTAATGCTTTCCTTGAAGCATAAATTAACCATTAAATCAGGTCGCAGGGGCCACACGCCTTTTAGGTGAGGGAACCAGGTAGGGTCCTCATGCTCGCCTGGTCCGTAAGTTTCAGAAAACTCCCCTTGCGTGAGTGCTAGCGACTCACTAACGCTGAGCCATTCTCCTCTCAGCACACTCCACCTTATGATTTCGGGATAAGTAGACGGGATGAACAAGGTAGGTTTATAGGATGGAATTCTAGGGATTAGAACAGATGAAAGGTATTTCAGGACACGGATGGACTAGCCGCCTCCTGTCCCATTGGTCGCCTTCTACGACCTCCAATTGTACATTTATGTGTAAAATTTAATAGGTTAAGTATTCTAAGCAGTTTCCGAAAAATAATTATAGGAAGTAGTCAAATATAACTATTATAAAGGCTATAATAATCGTTAAGTGAGTAAACGTTCAGAAGTGGTTAAAGCTATAAGCGTAAATTAAATTACAAATAAAAGGAACTACATCGATTACCATGTAATAAAGTATTCTTGCATCCCTATAACTTAATTTTTTACCGTAGTTATGAGACTTTTGTAAAATGCAATAGCCTGTTGGAAGGTTCACAGAACATCTACCATGAGAACTGTAATTACTTGAATTATATGAATTAAAAATGGTGCCGATCAATCCTTCGCCATAGACAGCTGTATAAGAACATGCACATACCTCTTATAGAATATTATTCTGCTACTGCACTGAAGATGTCAAGTGACGCGATATCCGTCTCTTTCGAAACGCTTAGAAAAATTTCTAAAATAACGGGGCTGGTACTAAAACAAAATATGAGCAGAAGTGAAAAAGTTGCTGTAGGTGTCTACGTATTCACGATTTACCTATATTCTGTGATGTACTTATGTGGAAAATTTAATGCTGAGACTGAAATGGAGGACTGGATCTACGTGTTGGCAATAACCAGCGGTACTATCATGCGGGCATGGGTTGCTAAATGCTATATGATGAACGTGTTTTTTAGTTGTACCACGTCTCACAATAAATAGGATAAACAGATCAAGATTGGCAAATTTGTTGATTCTACTAGAAACCTCCACGGAGTATAAAATCAAGAGAACAAGTGAGCTTTGCTCCGAATTGCAGCGGCCGTTGCCTGTAGTGGTACGTTGCTAGCTATTTTGGCATATTAGGTACTAATGATAAAGTTTAAGGGTCGACTTACTACTACAATAGGAATTTCTGCTTATATTTTTGGCATTTTGGCTTGGCTAATAACAGATATTCAAAATAGTCTGCCTTTCGGGTCCATGCCCGTGTGGACGAATTACAATTATACTGCGTGTTTGGTTTTCCAAGTGACCGTATTGTTTTTCATGGGCGTAGAGTATTTAATTCCGGACGCAATCAAGATGTGCATAATGTTGCAATTGCAAACGCATTTCAAATACCTAAGAATGAGCATCGAAGAATTGCTTGAGGATGCCAAGGGAGAGTACTGTTCTATAAGTAAAATCGACTCAAATTTAATCGACAAAGGTAATGTTCCCTGGCCTTATCAACAAAAACACTTAAAGAGCATTATCGTGCATCACAACTACATTATAAGAATTGCAAGTGAAACTGAGGAAATATTCAACAAGTGTGTTTTAGTCAATTTCCTTAACTTATCTTTTGTAATCTGCATCATTTTGTTCCGCATTGCAAATGTAAGTAGAATCAAATAAACTCCAGTACTCCTGTACGTTTTTTTGCAGGCGCCACTGTTTACCGTCGAGTTTTTTAAACTTTGCTTGTACTTGATTGCATCAAACATCTTATTTTTCGGGGATTGCTACCTCACACAAAAAGTCTTAACCGAAAATGAAGCACTCGCTTATGCGTGCTACAGTGTCGATTTTGTAGGCACTAATTTACCTTTTCAAAAATCATTAATTTTAATAATGGCAAGGGCACAAAGATCGGTGCAATTTACAGTTGGAAAATTTGCACCCTTAAGTATTGTTACCCTGGTTACCGTAAGTCCCAACTACATGAAAGTGAAAATCTTAAATATTCTTTTTTTTAGATTTTGAAGGCGTCTTATTCGTATTTCACGTTGCTTCAAAACCGTCGACAACATCAATAGTTACAGAACAGTAGAATTGAAGCAACAATTTGTTTGTGGTAGCACCTGCCACTGCACATGAAAGATATGCAAATCGTTAGCTTTCTGCTTGCACTAATCTCCTTTTCACATAATTCTAGGTAATTTATTAACTTTTCAATATAAAGCTGTGTAGGATCATAGCGGAAACTGTAAAGAATAGAAATACACTATGCTAGGATGTTGTGTAAGCACACCTGATGTCAGAAATGTAAACAATTGAAAGGAAATAAAAAGTGTAACCATATAACATGTAATTCAAAATGAATACAATTTCTGCTACTAACCTATTACCTATGTGTTTACCAATATTACCCTACGTAAGAGTTCAAGCCGAGGTAATGGCAAGTTTAACAATGCCAGTTGCGCTTCGTGCAGACCGAATATTTTTTTCCAATTTTAAGTCAATAATAGGGCCAAAGTTTCTCATTTTATGTACAAAAAATTTAATGGATGTTGGAGTCTAAATCGTTATTGTCAATACGCCAGTCAGGGTTCCGGCGATTTCATTCAACAACTGATCGCATACGGAATACTTTTTGCGTGAACATAGGTATGATAGCGGTCGCGTTCGATATCTTCAAGCCCTTTTTAACTTAAAATTTACTTTCTACCTTACTTCTGACTTCCTTGATAGCAGAAAATAAATCAACAGTTAGGATAAATGAAATTACTGTATTGATAAGAAAGACTCGAAGAAAGATTAAATTCAAATTTCACTCCACTTACAGACCTTTTTATTAATTATGCAATTAACTACCCACATCTATCCTGAATCCTAATCCAACAAATGTGAACCTGTCGCCACGCTCTTTTTTTAGGTACCTTGGTCTGTGTAAAATTTAAGCTTTTAAATAAGTACATGAATGATTTTCTTTACCCTGACACAACATGATTACTAATCTACAGAACTCATTTATTTTGAAATTTATCAAGTGCTATTGGACTATAATAGTCCAGTTGTACGTAAGACCTCAATCGAAAATTCAAGTTTTCAGAAATGTAAATTTCTTGTCATGTTCTATTATCAAGTTTGTAGGTTAATATTGCTTTAAAAGATCCATCTACTGAGCTATGGAACTATTGAAAACTGAGTGTTTAAAAAATGAGGTGCCATGGGAAGTTTGCATATTCATTTTTTTTTGGACTGTTACTGCTTCCTTTAAGATCTTCCAAAACTGTAAAATTTTTGCGTGTAAGTAGAACTATTCCACATTTTCCACAGACACGCAATTGTTCTCATCTAGTGATGAGGTACAATACAGAGTGTCCAACGAGGAATTAAATCAATCCTTATCTACAAAACAAATACGAATAAGAGCAGGTTTTAACCAAAGTGTTTTCAATTTTGAATTGAAGCAAACGGAATTAGAATAGTATATTGAAAGACAAGTGCTACAATGCGACCTATTGTAATATGACTATCTTGTGCCACGAGTGTAACAACTAACAGCGAAGCGCAGCCACGAGTGCTCATAAGATAGGAGTATTACAATAAAGCATTGTAGGTAACACGTGTTTTCCATACTATTTTTTCTATTTCGGTGCTTTAATTTAATTAAAAAGTAATTATCAAAAACTACAGGACATTTTAGAATTAATGTCTTAAGTTGGCAACACCATTTACGTTGACAAATTTGAAGTTGGCAGCGTTGATAAACACAACACTCGAATTTGGAAACTTTAAATTCCGTGGATGTGCATAAATTTATTTATGGTGGATGTGTAAACTTTTAACCAAATTCATAACGTCCATGTACCTACTTCCTCTACAAGACGGCAAGCCTCATAGGTTAAGTACCTATACCTTTCCTAGGTTACTTCTAAAGTTACCCACTATATTACTTTTATTGTCAACTTATCTACACAGGAACCGAATATCTACAACTCTTTCAAGAAAACACTGCTTAATTTCACAATGGAATACCTGACTACAACATCTGCATACAATAAGAATCTCAAATTTGAAACCATTGTGGCATCACCTCTTTGTAGCTTATCATAGTCGTAAAAAATAGACTCATAGTCATCACGAAACTCGCCAGGTCTCGTTTCGTAATTCTCAAACTCGTGTCTTAATAGCCGCCATTAAATGCTCATTGCATAATATACTATTCTAACATTTGAACATCAGATCACATGCACAAAAGTTTGAACTTATTATAGGGAAAAGTATCAGCGCGTGAAAGTTTTTCGGGCCAACATTTTTTAGCTATATTCAAATATTAACAGTTTTAGGATATGATTTAGAATACGAAAAGTGAAGTGTCCCATTTTGCAAATATTTAAGTTCGATCCGAAAACCATGGTTACTTTACTTTTATGTGGAAAGTTTAATAAAGTTATATTTAGAACGGTTTTCGAAAAAATAATCAGAGGACAAATTTAACTTAGGGTTATAGTTATTATTGAGATAACGTTGGAAAATTGTTAAAAGGATAACGTGTAAATTTAATTACAGATAAAAGTGAACTTCCTGAAACTACTTTACTGAATGAAACATTTGTGTATACCTATGTAATTTAATTTTTTCTCGAAGTTGTGATACTTTTGTAAAATGCAATAGCCTGTTGGAAGGTTCACATTATATCTACCATACGAACTATAATTACATGGAATAACACATGAATTAAAAATGGTGCCGATCAATCTATCGCCACAGATAGATATATAAGAACATGCACAACCTAGTTTAACATATTATTCTGCTACTGCACTGAAGATGTCAAGTGACGCGGTATCCGTCTCTTTCGAAACGCTTAGAAAATTTTCTAAAATAACGGGGCTGGTATTAAAACAAAATGTGAGCAGAAGTGAACAAGTTGCTGTAGGTGTCTACGTATTCACGATTTATCTATATTCTGTGATGTACTTATATGGAAAATTTAATGCTGAGACTGAAATGGAGGACTGGATCTACGTGGTGTCAATAACGAGCGGTATTATCATGCGGGCACGGGTTTGTATATGATGAACATGTTTTCTAGTTGTGCCACGTCTCACAATAATTAGGGTAAACAGATCAAGATTGGCAAATTTGTTGATTCTACTGGAAACCTCCACGGAGTATAAAATCAAGAGAACAAGTGAGCTTCGCTTCGAATTACGGCGACCGTTGCCTGTAGTGGTAATTGATGCTAACTATTTTGGCATATTACTAATGATAAACTTTAAGGGCCGAATTACTACTACAATCGGAACTTCTGCTTATATTTTAAACATTTTGGCTTGGCTACTAACAGATAATCAAAATGGTCTGCCTTTCGGTTCCATGCCCGTGTGGACGAAGTACAATTATACTGCGTGTTTGGTTTTCCAAGTGACCATAATGATTTTCATGGGCGTAGAGTATTTAAATCCGGACGCAATCAAAATGTGCATAATGTTGCAATGGCAAACGCATTTCAAATACCTAAGAAAGAGCATCGAAGAATTGCTTGAAGATGCCAAGGAAGAGTACTGTTCTATAAGTAAAATTGACTCAAATTTAATCGACAAAAGTAAAGTTCCCTGGCCTTATCAACAAAAACACTTAAAGAGCATTATCGTGCATCACAAATACATTACAAGAATTGCAAGTGAAACTGAGGAAATATTCAACAAGTGTGTTTTAGTCAATTTCCTCAGCTTATCTTTTGTAATCTGCATCATTTTGTTCCGCATTGCAAATGTAAGTAGAATCAAATAAACTGCAGTATCTATAAGTACGTTTTTTTTTGCAGGCGCCACTGTTTACCGTCGAATTTTTCCAACTTTGCATATACTTGATTGCATCAAATATCTTATTTTTCGGGGATTGCTACTTCACACAAAAAGTCTTAACCCAAAATGAATCACTCGCTTATGCGTGCTACAGTGTCGAATTTGTAGGCACTAATTTACCTTTTCAAAAATATTTAAGTTTGATCATGGCAAGGGCACAAAGATCGGTGCGATTTACAGTTGGAAAATTTGCACCCTTAAGTATTGTTACCCTGGTTACAGTAAGTTCCAACTACAAGAAATTCAAAATCTTAAATATTCTTTTTTTTTAGATTTTGAAGGCGTCTTATTCGTATTTCACCTTACTTCAAAACCGTCGGCAACAATAGTTACAGAGCAGTGGAATTGAAGTGAACATTTGTTTGTAGTAGCACGTTCCACTGCACAATGAAGACACGCCAATCGTTAACATTTTCTGCTTGGCTAACTAATCACTTGTGCACGTAGTTCTAGTTGTTTATTAACTTTTAAACGTAGGATGTGTACGGAGCACCACCCGATATCAAAAATGTAAACCTGTTCCAAGGAAATAAAAGTCTAACAATTGTGTATTGTATTGTGTATGTAATTCAAAATGAATAGGAAAATTTCTGCTACTAACCTATTACCTATAAGTATATCAATATTGCCCTACGTAAAAGTTCAAGCCGAGGTGGTCACAAATTTGAAAAGCAAGCCAGTTACCCTTCGTCCAGACAACGAAATAATTTTCTTTCCTCCAATTTTAAATCAATAATAGCTCCAAAGTTTCTCACCTTATGAACATACAAAAAATTTAATACTTTTGTTGTACCTACTGTGTCCTAGTATTTATAGCATATCTAATGCAGTTTTAAAGAATTAAATTACTGTACTTGTCTTTTTGTTATTTTGACCTCGGAGGAGCTTATTGTTTCACTAACTGTGGGTTGATCTGAGCAACGGCCTTCCTGTTTGTAGCATTAGTTTCGTACAGTATCGTTCAGTCCGATAGCTGAAATCCATTCCTGAAGTTGATAATTTACAAATTTCCTTCAAATGTATTGATCGAAATATCGACAACATTCAGCATTAGGTTCGTACCATCAACTACTCAGCAAGCTGAAAGCCATTGCTGAATTAATTTCGAAATGGATTTTGACCGGTCGGTATTGGAAAAAATAAAAAATAGTATAAGTAACACTGGATTAAACTAGTTATTGTTCCCTAAGTCATCGGCAACCCTCGGACTTTAAACGATTCAAAACTCTTTTTACGCCTTTGTTACTTAATATACTATTGTGATATCCTTATGTTTACCTACGAGGAGTGCCAGAGAATGGGTAGAAATTCGGGGTGGTGGAATGGATTTTGCGAACATAGAGTATCAATACTCGTAACTTTAATTTTACCTTAAAAACTTCTACGTAGAACGTAGATTTTAAATTTTCGACATATAATTCGAAATTCTACTTGAAAGCTTTGAGTCATAACATTTTAAGATATAATTCGTTTATTAGGAGTTATAAGTTGAAGTTTTGGGGCTGAAATTTTCATTTATAATGGCAACTTTTAGAATATGCGCCTGACCCATGCATGTTCTAGAAGTTGAAAATTGAATCGTGTTCAATTTTGATCTCAAAATCGATACCGAAGTGAAATAGTGACATTTGCGCCCGTGCGTTATAAATCTACATGTTATAAATTTGAGTACAACTGCAGAGTGAGTGACTCAACTCTCTGCAAAGGCCAATTTATTTCATAATTTTAATTAAAAATGTTTTTCATTTGTAACTTGTTAGGGGACTTATTTTAAAACTTAAAATATTACCCAAAACAATTACCTATAGTGCAAAAAAATGCCGCCTTCTAAAGTTGCCGCCCCTAGGCACGTGCCTAGTTCTGCAACGGAAAAATGCCGTCAGCGATGTCAGATGCTTCTATCCGACTGAGAACGAGAAGGGTGAAAAGTTTTAGTGGGTGCTTGACCCACAATCTCCCTGCAGCGATTAGAACTCAACAGCAGAGGGGTGCGAAAAGGCATTCAATTCAATCAATCTATTTAAAAACTTCTTTAAATTGATTAACAATATAAATAGTAATTAAATTTACGTTACTTTATTAACAAACACAAATTCAAAATACTGCCTATCGACAAGAGTAATTATTATACCTACAGTTGTTGACGAGAAACCGTATTATGGAAAATGAAAAAGGTTAAGCGTGTCCATAAAGTAAGTACGTGATATGTTTAGTTATGGCGGCATACGTAAATTTCAACTATGAATATATACCTACAAATCTCCTATGTTTAATTTTTAAATATACAAGTTAACCTCACACAAAATTTTGCCAGCAGTGTAAGCAAAGGAACTTATTAACTGTGGTTTGCTGGTGTTTTTTATAGTGTTTTTTCAGTTACGAGGTGTGTAATCATTTCCTGTGGATTGTCGAATTCAATACGGACGTAGGTATCTGAAATTTCAAATTCTATAGCTAAATTACAGTTTTTCTACGTACGCTGAAATATGGTCAGAGATAAATTTTACGCACTGTATAATGGCTACATAAGGGAGTCTAATCCCAAAGAATGTAATTGGATAAACAGCGACTGCTTCAGTTTTTAACGTGAAAAAGAAGAGTCTTCTTTACTTAAGCGCAACTTTTTTACATTATAGTGTATAAATGATTATAGTTGCGAGAGACAAGATGATATTTTTGCTTTGTCAACTCCTGTTTTGGTCCTTAGTTAGTTACCGCCGATACTGTGCAGTGGCGCCACTGGCTACACTCAAATTGCCGATTTACCTCCCGCCATGATACAGACTTTATTTACAAAAAAATATGATTTCATTTTTTGGGGTAATGTTTAGAAGTAACTTATCTAGAAAACTGTCGGTTTACTTTTTCGATAGATCGTCTTGATCATGAGTAAAAAATTAAAACAGATTAGCGCAATAATCGGTGCAAAACATACAGGGTGATTCCTATAGTACCTGCCACCGTTTGGGAGCGTATAGGGGGTGCCTAGGGGAGTATTTTGATATAGGACACTTGGGGTCGGAAATCTAAAATAAGGGCGCCAGAACCAAATTTATCTTCTGGAATTTCACGCCTGTATGTAGGCAACCCAACCGACCGACGTTTCGCGCGGAGCGATGCAGAGCGAGTTAGCGCGAGGAAGCGACATGGGAGGGAAGGAGGGAAAACGACAGTCAAAAGCAATAACGTTTACAAGTGTTCAACGTGGCCACCGTTGTTCTCAATGCACTTCCTACATCTAGCCAACTATTATTATACTATTGACATAGTGTTTATTCACTTGATACGCGTCGTTGCAGACGGGATTTCGTGGGTTTAAACAAAATTCTGATCAAGTGTCAGCCACACATCGCCGCCTGAGATCGCTCCGTGTGCACCGCCGGCCGGTTGGGTTGCCTACCTACAGGCGCGAAATTCCAGAAGGTAAATTTGGCTCTGGCACCCTTATTTTAGATTTCCGACCCCAAGTGTCCTATATCAAAATACTCCCCTACGCACCACCTACACGCTCCCAAACGGTGGCAGGTACTATAGGAATCACCCTGTATATAGTTTTTTAAAAAATCGGTATTCAGTTGCTATAAACTTTTTTAAAAAAATAGTCCGAACATTATGTAGATAAAGGCGTAAATTTATAAAATAGTATTTATAAAAAAATGTTTTTAGGCTATCATCACAAAAACGTTGATTTTGTGGTCGCTTTCGCGGCCATAAAGGTTCACTTTATTGTACACATCTGTCAAACTGTACCTACTTATTTGAAACTGATGTGTGAGAAACAGTAATCTGTTTGATACAAAGTGTCTATCTGATCTAGCCCCATCAAGGATTGGGCCATCCACGTGCGTTTTTTTCATTTTCGAACTTGTAGGAATGTTTAACACTATTTTGCATAATCACAATGTTCACATTTAAAATTATAGTTTGACGTTTCAATCTTTGCTGCTTGCAGACCTTTTTGAAGTGTAGAACCAAAACATGAGGGAGATGTTATTGCTTACATTATTATACGAAGAATAATAATAATAATAGAGTTTATTGTCCTACAGACTTTTCAATCCAATTATAGGACAAAGATAACATTATAATTAAAATTCACCTATATTAAAGAATTATTACCTGAATTATTAAGACAGAAAGAGAGAAAAAAAATAAGAAAAAAAAAAGTAACTAAGATAAGTGAATTCGATATAAAGTTATAAAGATGCAAAAAACAAAAAACAGAAAGAAAACACGAATTAAACTATTCATCCCTTATATAACTAGGAATGCATTTCAATCTACAAAAATGTATGTCACAGTCTACACATCTTAAATTAAAGTTGTTGCACATAACATGAATAGGTGCACGCTGCAAGATGTTACTGTGCGACATATCGTTATAAAATGTGTGATGTTTTCTAGTCCGGTGCGAAGGTACATGGAAGTTAACTGATGATAATAAATATGAGCAATTTACATTATTGTGTAAGAGTTTGTAAAGAAAAGCAACACTATTTTTACATCTTCTTATTTCAAGCGACTCTACATTAAAACGATTGAGCAAATTGTTATGGTCGGTTCCTCTAACAGGGTATACTCCATCTAACTTAAAAGCCATATATTTAAACGTCCTCCTTTGTATCGACTCTAATTTTGTGATCTGATAATGATATGTTGGGTACCATATTAAGAAGCAATATTCCAGTTTACTGCGTATGAGATGAAAAAATAATTTTCGAATTGGTGTTATATTAGTGAACGACTTACACATGCGCATTATAAAGCCCAACGTTTTCAGAGATGAATTGTATAATTCATCTATATGCTTCTTAAAAACTAATCTATCATTAAAATATACTCCAAGATCTTTTATGTCTGTACAGCGATTTAAACTAACGTTATTAACGTGGTATCTAAATATGACTGGTTCTATTTTACGCGTGTATGACATAACTTTGCATTTTGGTATGCTTAATGATAAACGATTGCTGTCGCACCAATCTTTCAATACATTTAGTTGCTGTTGCAGAAACAAACAATCAGTATTGGATTTGATTGACATATACATTTTCAAATCATCTGCGAATAAGAGGATATTACAATTCAAAGCAGAGGTAATGTCGTCCATAAATAATAGAAACAATAAAGGTCCAAGGTTAGAGTCTTGGGGCACTCCAGAGCTCGGAAAAACTGGCTGCGAAATGAAGTTATTATACACAACATGTTGCGACCTATTACAGAGGCACGAAATAAAAAAAACGAATTAAATCATATGAAAAACCTATATGGTGTAGTTTCATAATGAGTACATCGTGAGGTAGGCAATCAAATGCCTTTGCTATGTCCGTATAGAATCACCAGCAATTAACCGAGAACACAAGTAGCTACCTATACCTACCATCAAAGTAGGTAATCTGATTTCTAATAATTGTACAGCATGTTAACTATAAGGTCTTGGAAGCCACAGTTACGAAGGACGTATTGCATTTGACATTATTTCGGGCGCCTTCTTGTGCAACGGAGGAAGTTGCGATTGTACTTTTACTCTCAAACGCCTGCTCTTATTTATATCATATATGACTTAGGTTCGCAACGCTTGCAGCTTCCAAAATTTCATTTGGGGTATCTAAACTGTCGCTATCACCCATTTTGATACGCACAAAATACACGCAAAGATGCTAATTTTAATTACATATGACAGGAAATGCTTTGTTTTTAATTGTCTAAGATAACTATGATTTTCAGAAAAAATATGTTTTTATTATACCTGAATCACAATCTCCGTTTTAAACACTCAAATGCGTGCGAAAAAGGGCCTTTAAAACACACGTGCTTTAAAGTTGCTAAGTAACGATACTTCAAGTATGACTTTTGAAACTGTCATCTGGATGAAATAAAAACTCCTCTTAGGTCGCTTTCTGTAAATGCAGAACATTTCTTTGGCTTTTGTACCTATCCTTTGGTTGAAGCTTTCACAAACGCGCATAATTTAGGGTATGCTTCCAAATCTGTTCTACTTTTTAATCGCAGCATTGTTCGAAGTTTTGAATGAATGCACCAAAAGATAGAAGATTTAAATACCTTTGACATTTCCTTCATATATGCCAGCATTATGGATGCATTTAAGACTGTATTCGTAAGTAACTTCCTATTCATCCATGGAAACTTTTCATATTCTTTATACCTAATAGGCTTTACTGGAGTTGGATTTTACACCTACCAACGTTTGTTTAGATTTGACAACAATCGATTTAATGGACGGTGTATTATCTTTTTCAACGGAAATCGTTTAATTCACAAAGACGACAATTTTTATAAGCAAACGTCAAGTGACATTTCCATGGCAATCGTGAAATTACGAACACCCAGCCCACTTAATTAGACATGTATTCGAGTATAACGTCAATATGATTTCATTGTATTTCCTATTTTTAAATTATACTGCAGGTATAATAAAAAATACTATAAGATACACGTGTATAATTGGTCTTTAAAGCACTTGCAACGTTAAAGGCACTCCGCTTTGCGTCGTGCCCTTAAACTCGTTGCGCGTGCTTTAAAGACTTGATTATACACTTGTATCTTAATATACTATTATGAGCAAATTTTTGAATTCTTTTTTGATGATTGCCTAAAAAATGTTGTGTGCACCTTGGCCAAAAGTGATTTGTTAGGCCTCATCTGAATTGCGGCCTCGGCTACCGCCTCGGCCACAAACAGCAGCTTCGGCCAAAAAAGATCACTTTTACGGCCTTGGTACACAAATAACTATTTTCTGAAAAACAACTATAGTTTTTATGGCGGGCGCTCTTATGGAAATTTACATTGGGTGCAGTGGGTACAGAACCAGTAACGTTATAAGTTTTATCACGCGAACCGAAACATGGATGAAACTATTGCGGACTGGGCGGCTAAAGCAAAAAAACTTCGAAATCTAAATATAATATAAAAGTATGAAGGATAAATTCATTATTTGAGGTAAACGTGAGTACAGTAAAGTTAGATAATGCATTTGATATCGAGTTGAGTAAGGAAACTGGTTTAAAGAACTTTGAAGCCAGTGCTAATGCGGTAATTGAACAAGAACCCATAGAGATGTACAACACTTCGCAATACTTGTCGCCCAATACGCGTAAATGGAGCAGCAGCATCAGCAGAAATCAGAGAGCGGAAGCTGGACTTGCAGAAGCATCTCGTGCCACGTCTAGGAGCGGAGGACGACACAGCTGTCAGAATGGGAAAGGTGGTCAATGTGCACTATGCGGTAAAAACTTTAATCAAAGTAAGTTTATCTATCGTTATTATATCTGGTGTGAAAGGTCATTTATTGACAATGTGCATGCTACGAAATGAACAATGCTTTATTGAAGACGCTGCGAATGAAAATTTAACAAGGTTGGAGACACAATGCGGGAAAAAATAATTAGTTGATAGTTGATTTAGCAAATGGACATCGTCCGTAGTTTAAAAAAAAAAGATGGATCTTTGTGGAGATTACAGGGTCACTCTTAACCCAGTTTTGCAATGGAAACCCTATATGCGTAAAAACCGTTCGTTGGTTTGGTGGCCGACCATGAATCAGAACTCAAAAGCGCCAAATAAGTTTGCATTTAGAAATTTCTCTTCTCGTGCTACATTAATTACCTGGGATTAATTTTCATTTTTATTTTCAACATCTACAATCGTGTTAAATGCCATAAGATTGTTAGAAATTTTTTCTAATATACAAATTACCTTTACTACAACCACAGATTAGTATATTTAAACCTGTGCTACAACCAAGGAAATTTTTTTTATTTTTACAAACTATGATTTTCACGTGCTCTCCATCAACTAAACAGCCATTTTCTGTCATTTTAAAACACGAAATAACAGAATATTCTCCAATTTGAGTGAACGAATAACCGTCTGAAGTATGTCATGAAATCAAATCTGTGTTGTGCTAGTTACGCCTGTTTGATTAATGATAGCTACATATTGATTGCCAATTTATATCGTTGACCCAAAACCGTTGTCATATGCAAATTCGCAATATATTATATTGTCTGTTCCATTTCCATCGGACACATCCTTATGCGAATTCTTTTATGTAACATCACGTTATATCCTTCCATACCGCCTTTGTATTTAAATTACTAACTTCTAACGTAGAAAAACAACATACTTTTAGTAGTAGTACCATTTTGTGGCAAAATATTACCATACGCCATTTTGTTCCAAATGAAATAACATGAATTTATGAAAGTACCTAGTAATAATATTTTCATTTTTTCTGTAGCGTGAATTTTCCACAAGACAACACTCCCTTATTGATCTAAACTGGTTATAAATACATAGTAAAACAAAGGGAGTCGCCAATTTAATTAATAGCATGTAAAAGTAATTGGTTCCTTGCAAACAGCGTACCAAAACTGAGGCAGACACGCTCATTAGATGCCATTCAATCTGTATAGAGAAGCATTGCGTAATTATTCGCTTTGCACGAAATAAATAACGGCGAGCAACTAATTATCCCACAGATTTAAGGTATTGTGTGTTGCTATTTCCTTTATTGTACAGGGTGATAAAACGAATTAAAACGCTCATTTTAACTCATCAAGAGTTAAAAATTCTTCGTTAGGGAACTACGCCCCCAAGAAATTTGACGCTTCTTCTTTAATTGTGAACTCACGACTGTTTCTTTCAACATGGAAATATCGAATCGAAAACTAATGTGTGAAGGAAAATCGAGCGGCGATATTGATTATGGTACTGGTGTATACACCTTTTATGTAAGTTAGGAATAATTTAAAATCTAATTAATTTTTCATTGTTTGGTCAAAAATGTGACAGTGGAATTTTACGTTCACAAAAAGTTAGTATTCGTTATCTTCAGATTAGTCAAAGCGTCAGAGATATTTTTGATGAAAAAATTCCTAGGGAAGATTTGTTTTTGTCAATCGCTTCGTTTTATCGTCATGAACAACACCATATAAATTTCTTCCAAAAATTCGGTCAACATGTACCTATGTTTTTTTTTCAGCTTGACCAAAATAAAAGGGACCATTTCGTGTTTTATTGCAAAATAACTCAATAACTATCGTTTTACGTAAAAAATACTCGTATATGAAAATAAAGAGAAGAAAATTTTCAACAATTTACCATTTTTTTGTAGATCCTATAAATCCGCGACCAGCTGATAATAAAAGTGGCATAACCTCCGCGGATGCGCTCTCGCATGCACTCCCCTTACGGATTCTTTTTTAATCTCAAGTTAAATTGTATGTTGTAAAGGATTGGGTATTTTACTAAATTAGGAATTTTTGGAAATATACAGCGATGTTTCACGTGCCGGGAAAGGAGGGTAGTTTATCAGAACGTTCGCACCCCGGGCGATAACTTGGTACAAACCTCTGGAAGCACAACATACCAAGAGAATTTATTTTGCTGGCAAAATTTAATTATGAAATTAGGTGTGTTTGTTAGTGCATTTGTAAGTGAAAGTACATAGTTCATGCAATCAAGTAAGCTCTGTTTAGTTTTTAGTGCAAGTTAACTTTAAAAAAATAAAATATATTTTAGAGAAGGGGCCAGAATATCTACTTTCTCTGTCTTGCCCGTGCCATTAAGGGCATTATTTTAGACGGAAACTTTAAAGGGACACTTTTTTTACCCGAACCGATGGGAAAATACTCTCAACCTCCTTAGAATATGAGTAACGATTTCATTGGTTAAGGAGTAATCGAGATGGGATTGAGGGGAAAGTGGTAAAATTTGGAGAACTTTAGAAAAACTTAAAAACGATAAAAAGCCTTGACAAACTTGCCAACACATTTCAGAAGTTTGAATTATAGATTCCGGATCAAGATCAAGGCATACATGGTTGGTTGCCTTTACGAGATTTCTAAATACTTCTAACATAAAATTACAATTTACTAAAGTAGATTACACAGACGGAATTGACCAATTGAAGTAACCAAAGTAGAAGCTTAATACACAGAAATATTTTTATGCTAGGTATAGGTACAACATGACTCAATAACTTTGATTACGAAATACGTCATAAAAAAGCAGGGGAAAATATCAATGCATATTTTTTATCCCCTATCGATGAAACAATGTCTTAAGAAGAGAAACACATCGAAGAGGAAAAATTTTCAATTTCCAGTGAATTAATTGACCAAATTTCAAATTCAACACCTAATTAGGTATAGTGGAAGTAATGAAACACCTTCAAAAGTAAGATCAAATTTATTAAATGGAAAAACTGACGATATTAAATTCAAACTTTTACTTCGAACATTTTCCCAAAATTAATAGTTTTGCTAAAATATCATCTTCCACCTCATCCAAATCCCGAGATTTCGCCTGCGGAAAAGTTGAGCTGTTTTATTTATTTTTTCCCAATTTCTAATCGTTTCAGCTAGATGAAAAATCCGGTTTGGATTCGGAACTAATATTTTAAATAAATTTATTTTAGAGCTATTTAGCCTGGACCAAAGAGCAATTATTATTAAGTATTCTTTGCCTGGACTAAATGTAATGAATAAAATTTTTAACGTTTGTATTGTCTTAACATATTGTATTGTACTGTTAGTAAACCCTTGAACAAATGTTCCAAGTGCCTGGTAATGTGTTACTTTTGGTATCTTTGCTAACTGATGGCATTTTGTACATCTATAGAGATCTTGACGATGGATTATCGTTGATTTTGGTGAATAGCATTGTTATGCAAATTAGTTTCTTACTTTTTTGTATTTTGGATTCTTGCTAAATAGTTTGGATTGAAGCTCTCCAATTATTGTCCGCTCTCCACCACAACCATTCCCATTCCTATATACTGCATGCATTCAAGTGATCTTCCTTACTATATGCTACTACCACACTAACTAATTTGATAGACTATACAGTATCAGTTGTTGGCAAAGATGGAAAACATCCCGGTATCAGAAATGCATGTTAGTACGTATCTATTCAAACTTTGCGCAACTTGATGTTTCCCTTACCACAACTTTCTACGAAGCTTTTAGTAGTTCGACTTCTAGAAAATATAACTATTAGTCAATACAACGTTCATACGATCTTTTCGAAATTTACTAAATACGTGGATTTCTTTATTTTTGTGATATGTTTCAGACATGCGTGGGATTTAGTTTGTTTTTCGACGATTAGGAACAGTTCAGAAATCGAATTTTAGCATTTGCTAGCATTACTGCGAGAGCGCTTTGACACGCATTCCAAAAAATTGAGGTCCTGAAAACAATTACAGTCATGGTATGATGAAATAGGGAGCGTAGTAGTTGTAATTACCGATATTATTTCTTGCATGTCACACACACATATACACCCAGATTACCTTTTGTGTTATAATCCGAACGTAATTAAAAGCAATCTATCTAATTATTTTATACGTACATTGCGTTACTTGGCGACCCTTACGTGCACAGCCTCAAACGAAAATAAACAATAAAATCGATCTAAACTGAAATATGATATTGATGTAAATTTGCCAATGAAAAGCATTCAATTACTCAATTGGCAATTAATTTAATGAAAGGCAGGGTTTAGTCGAGCCTGAAAGGCACTTTTCTAGTATAGGTATAGGTAAACACACTTAAGATTATGAAAAATTGATCAATTTATCTGTTTGCTACTAAACAAACCTAACACGCACATTTAGTTCGATACTTTAAATTATCCGTAGAAAATCAAAATAAAAACAATAAATAAATGTATTATGGATATATGGACTTTATATTTCATATACTGATGCATCCGTGTCGAAACCCACTTTTTCTTTTAATTAAAAATATAGTGTTTGCTAAATAAAGCCCGCCGAAAATGATGCTCAAGTGAATTCCTAATGGATCCCTGGAGTTGGAAAGTATGAACTGCGCCATTTTCAATGTTTGAGTTAAAATAGTTCTTTACGAGCCAATTTTAGAGAAGTCACAGAGGGATGGAAATTCGTATTAAAATTATCGAGAAACTCTAATAGGTAATACTCACTAGGGTTGTCTACGGCTTTGGGTAGTTCTTGGGGAGTTCCTAGTACATATTATATGCATGTGGATGCATATGCGCAATTAAAAGTTTAAACGAGCTGTTTGTACAGTTGGTCCAGATTTGACATCGAATATCCCTTTTTTGTACCGGTGGCTTTGGTGTAGTCAGTTATCCACTCTTTTTTATATCACTCATATCATTACATAATATGGACCTATTGTTGTGTAAACAACGTCCGTTAGGATGGTTGTAGTTTAGGTCCTCAAAAAATTTTATAATATAGTGGTGACATGCGCA